GCGATTAAATTCTCAAGCATTCTCAAAAAAGTTAACGTCAAACCTTGTAAGAATGCTTAAAACGTGCGTTATTGTGTTTTTAACTAACGTGAAACATCTGTTTTAATTGAAATATGGATAACTTCAAGTTCAATTGTCTCTCACGGGGTCAGCTTCAGAGTTAAAGTCTCAATAAGTTCTTCTTAACTGTATTCAAAATATTACCATGCCATGAGGTTTCTTTGGTAACTTAAATTTTGCCATTATTGCTCGAATGTTCTGTGGAAATCATCTTAATATCTTACCAGCTAGATTTGTTTTCAGAATCAGACACAGTTTTCTTTTCTTTAGTCTGAATGAGCAAAGAGAGAGGAAAATGATATTTTATTAGATTTCAATAACCACATGTAACAGAGGAGTAATCCAAATAAACTGGACATTAAAGACATGCACAATCATCACAGCCATGTAGGACGAAACTTACTCTTAGGCAGCTGCAAAAATAAACTTTGAAAAATTTCATGCGTAAATGAGATTTGAACAAATGACCTCTGCGATACCAGTGGAGTGCTCTAACAGCCTATTGGGAGCTGGTGACACTGTGGATTCATAATATACTATATGTATACATGGTGAAGATAATTATTACACAAAACTGGATACTGTTATACAGCCAGTAGAGTTCTCTCACAACTGACACATGCTCTCTAAGCTTGTTTCTTTGTCATTTAACAAATGTACATGTACATGTACAGTAGACACATGTACATGTATCATGTATCATGTGTGTGAAATCTAGCTGTATAACACTACCCATTTAGCCCTCCTTATGTTGGTTTGTTTTATACGCAGGACATCATAGAATGATTCAGAATTCAGGTCAAAACAAAGAAATTAAACTAAGATGCTACTTTATTAGTGGTAATAGTTAAAGTTAATACTTCAAAATATCTACAGGAATTCAGTATAATCGAGCTGAAGCTAAATTTGAAATTTGTGTAATGCATACCTTCTCTTGAATCTTATCCTCCTGAAA